AGGGTTTAGGGCTTAGTTTAAGGTTTAGGGTTCAGGGTTCTTTCTGGGTCCCTAAGTGTTTTTCTCGTGGCTTCTTCAGAAATAGGGGCTGGGGCCAGTTTGCGCAGCACGGATGCTATCATTTGTTACAGGGAAGGTCTTGATAGGCCTGTGAAAAGTATGCTTCCGTGTCTTATGCGGGGAGTTACGAGCATTTGATGGGTTTGTCAAAGAAGAGGGGATCATGTCTTAGGGGATCAGCTTGTTAAATGAGGGTGGAAAACAGCGTTTGAAAAAGAGCTTCATGTGTCTGATGCGGTTTGGACAAGGGTTTCTTAGACGGACTTTATCACTCGCATGACTTTGGGTAGTGGAGGGCCCTTAATAATTAGAATAGGGTTTTGGGGCCCATTATGCTATTATTGTAATAAGGAACCCCCAAAACAGTATAGGTAATTATTTAGGCCCCTACACTCGGGTCTTCTTAGCTTCTTGACTGCCAAGAGTGTGATTCTCGTTGCAAAGCGTCGTGACACAGTCTGATAGCTTTTGGTTTGAGTTTGCAGGTGTCGCTTATAGGCTCTAAGAGTCTAAGGTTGATACAAAACCTGCCTAAACGGAGTAAATCGTAAATCCCAGGCCCGAAACAACATCCCAGATAACAATGCATAAAGCCAACGACGCTAAACATGAAGCACAACAAAGCCCCGAACCATGCTAAACCCCAGACCTCTGAACCCGAATGTTAAGTCAAAGCCGTGAAGCTGTCGACCCTGAAAGCCCTCAGGCCTGAACCCCCTGAACCCCACATCCTGAGATATCCTCAACTACCTGCATCCCAGGACCCTGAATCCCACGAACCTACTATCATCTACCCCACGACCCTGTAATCATTTTGAAATATAACCCAATCTCACTCCCTAAACCCTAAACCCTAAACTCCAAACCCTAAATCCTGAACTCCCAACACAATAACCCTCCAGTGTCTGCAGAGCGACCCAGCGGCGCAGCGAGGATTCGGCGCAGCAGCGGCACAGCAGACGCTGGCTCCACCTCGGAAGCCGCTCGTGCACGGGGTGTTAGTTAGAATAGGGTTTTTTGGTTTAGGGTTTAGGGTTTAGGTTTTGGGGTGGTGTGTATATGGGTAGTTTTCTACAGTAGGGTCCCTTTTAGGGTCCTTTTGATAAGGGTGCCGTGCTATTTCGGGGACCCAAAAGGGGCCCTAATTTTGAGAACTACCCATATGTATGTGTGTGAGTCATAGTAGATAGTATCAGCGTCTTAAGGCAGGCCCCTCTGTTATAGGGGATGCCCGACGTTGTTTGGTTCTCTGGCTAGGGGCTGGCTTGGAATGGTGTAGGGTGGTTTAGAAATTCAAGCATTTCGCATGGGATTCATGAGTTGAAGCCTTGTTTTGGCAACGGTTGGCAGAGGAGTCCGGCGCAGACCAGCAGGAGTTTGTCTTCACTGAATGCATGCCCCAACTGCACGGAAAGAAACCAATTGAAACACACATGTCAAAGCCTGGAGAAGCGTAATATAGGGGCCTTAATAATTAAAATAAGATACTTATATAATAAGGAACCCCCAAAACAGTATAGGTAATTATTAAGGCCCCTACATTAGGCTCGCACCCTGTTCCATAGGTGCCCATCAGCACACTCCTGCCCCAAACCTCAATCGTCTCCAGGCGTCGAACCCCAGGAAGTCTTGCAACCTAAATCCCTCCCGAAAGGCTAAGCATCCTAGAAACTCTACATGGCAATCAGCTTAGGTCACGGCCTTGCCATCGAGGCAGTCATATACAGAGTTATCGGTACTCACCACCCTACGAAACCACTTACCTCGTCCCTGTGTCCTAAAACGCTAAAACATCCGTATGAGCACCTATTCGATCCTTCTGAAACTAGAATCATAACGCGCTCACTGACCCCCCTATACCCTAAACCCCTAAACCCCTAAACCCCTAAACCCTAAACCCTAAACCCATTCTCACTCGTTCTGGGTCAGCCCACTGCGGCCAGGCGCGGCCGCGGAGTGCAAAGAAGGCAGATCGCCAAGGCGGCAAGGCCAAGGCGACAGGGAAAAGGCGCCATTGGGGTTTGAAACCGGGGCGAAGGGTTGAGGGTTTCAGGGTTTTAGGGTTTGGGGTTTAGGGTTTCGGCTGTCAGGGTTTAGGGCTTTCGGGTTTAGGGTTTAGGGTTTAGGCCTTTAGGTTGGGGGCCAGGGAAAGGCGCCATTCGCGGGAGGTTTCACAGGTTCAAAGGGTTGAGGGCTAAGGGTTTAGGGTGTCAATGTCAGGTTGATGGTTTCTAGGTTGTTCAACCGGACCGGATTATGGCTTTGGGTTCAGGGTTTAAGTTGAGGGTAGATGCTTAAGGTTACGGTGAGAGTATGGATTGAAAGGTTCAGTTTCGTACTTGGGCTGAGAGAAGTGCAAACTGCAAAGTATCTGTGCGACCGTCGGCTCCTTGCCTTATATGGGAAACGTGGATGCTCTGGAAGCGGCGGGACGTCTGCTTTGGTGTATCATGCGTCTGTGTTCTTCCCAAGAGAAGCTGCACTCAAGAAATATGACAGCTCCAGGCGCCACTAGCTGGCCCATGTGTGGCAGCAGATCTTAGATTTCGGAACTAACCTGGCTGAAGCAGGAAGCCCTGAATCCAGAAGCCATGAGGCCCAAGATCCTAAACTATGAAAGGTCGATATCACACAAGCATCAACCAGCCTCATACCCTCAAACTCAATAACCCGGCAACCCCACATTTCAATACCGAAACCCGACATTCTAGGTTCTTGACCTGACATCGCGTGTCCGTTTCCAACATCCCACCGGGATCAAGCCTGATTATCGAAGCCCCCCACAACACCAAACCTTGAACCCCTGATTCCCGATCCCTCGATTCCTCAACCGCAAACCTTAAAAAACCCTGATTCCCTAAATCAAGACCCAAACCTTGAACCGCACTTTTGGCCCCTAAAGTCTCCTTTAAGGCCAAAGGCCCAAGGCTGCCCCGAGAGCCGCGCACTCAACCACCCTAAACACCTGCAGTAGCAAATCAGCGGAGTCACAAAGCCCCAAAGCCCACTGCCGAGCAGTCCAACCACCCGACTCCTAGGTCCTAGCCTACAACGCTACAAGCTGCACCTGGAGGATCAGGGGACTTAGTAAGTCGGGCTATATGAGTACCTTAATTGGGGTTGTAAAGTATATATAAGTATATAAGTTACCTTACTTCTAACCCCGACTTTACCAAGTCCGCAGATCCTCTAAGCACGACTCGAAGCCCTGAAGAAGACATGAAAGCCTGACGAGGCAAACCCACCGCCCTCAGGGCCTCCAGGTGGCCTCCATTCCCATGCGTCCATGCGTTCGCATAAGTTTGGGGGAGGACACTTTTCCCTCTCTTGAAGAGAGGGCTGCTTGGGGGGGTTTAGGGCTTATAGGGTTTAGGGTTTAGGGTTAGGGTTTTACAGGGCTTCGGGTTGGAGGCTTCGGGGATTGAGGTGTCCAGGTTGTCGGGCTTATAGGGCTTCAGAGTGGAGGGCTTACAACACTTGCGACGGAAGCGGTGAACTCCGTTTGGGCTCCGGCCAGCCCCTGGAACCCTGGAACCCACAACTCCAAGGTCTGGGGCGCAGCCTTAAAAAAAAGAATACAAAGGCCTCAAGACCAGGGATGTCCCTGGCATCTTGAGCCCCGGGGCATCGCAAGTTGAAAGGATCAACGGGGCCATGGAGTTGAGGTTCAGGAGTTTAGCGATATCGACTTTAGGCTGAAAATTTAAAGTGGGATCTAAGTCGGTCGGCTTTTGGGTGTTCGGGGTTTTGGGTGTTGGACTTCGAGATGTGGGTTTGGGGCTCTCCCAAGAAGAAGATGATGCCTACGAAGCCTCCACACACTTCCGATTCCCCAAACCCGTCAAACTGAGGACCCCTTAACAGTATAGAACTTCCCTAATAGCCCCTAAACCCTAAGCCCTAAATCCATCAACAAACCCTGAACCCTCAGACCTCAGAGCTTCCCCAAAGCCTCAAGCCTGAACCCCAAAAGGAGATCTCCTGCTGAGGAAGCTCATTTTTTCTCGCAGAATTCCACTAAGAGAAGTTCTAAGGTTGAATCCATGGGCCCCTAGCATGGGCCCTTAACCCTAGGATCCGTATACACCTACAATATACCCTATATGTACCCTTAAGGGTCCCTAGAAAGGCCTCAGGGTCCACATTGGGGCCCATACTCCTAACCTTAGAGAAGTGTCGTTGCCAACCGTCCCTTTAGGAGCGGATGCTGGGTGCCGCTTTGGGCTTTCCCGTGGGGGCGTAAGAACTTTGTACAACCACTGGCTCATGCGCTAGGCTGTGGCTGAGTCTTGGCCATGTCTAATCTGTTAAAAATCCAACCTTTTTGCAAACGGACGGGGGCCGTGGCCGAAGTGATGTCTATTGTTTTGTAAACTACACATTGATGAACCTCGAAGGGGACCGCTTCTAACACCACGGCCTTAATAATTAGAACAAACCTGTGCAGCAGATTCACTCTGATGTTAATAATTATTCCGACCCCAATAGTGTCGCCACGGGCCCTTTTGCCCTTGGGCTCCGCTACTCCAGGGCGGCGTAGTCCGAGAACATGCCGATTTGGCTGCTGAGGCTGGCCTGCTTAGGGTCTGGGGCTTTTCGGTCTTCTAGAGATAGGGGTTTATAAGGCTTTCTAGGTCAGTTCTTGAAAGCATTAGGGGTTGCTTGGAGGAATGAGGTCGGATCAGGAGTATAATCAAGGTAACTATACCTCAAAGGATACTTAACCAACTTATAACCCTGCTTAGAGTACTTCTAACCCTAGTTGGAAAGGTGAAGCGCTGAGCAGAAGTGTAGGGGCCTAGCATGGCCTAGCCAACCCATGACCAATCAAGTCTGGCCTTCCAAAGACCTC